CGCCCAGGCACCATGCGACCCGCCGCGCCTCCTCGCCGGCCCCGGGCTTCGCTCTCCGTTCGCTGAGCCCCGCGCTCGCCACCGCAGCAAGTCGCAAAGACGAGGCGGGTCGCTGGAGAGCCGCGGGGAGACCGCCTTGGACGTGCCCTCCGCCCCACAGAGGCTGCGGGTCCCTCGTTCCCTGGGCTTCTCTAGTTTTACCATGAACCTGGCGCAAGCTTGGCTTTAGGAGAAATTCAGAAGCCGGAGGGGGAGTCAGTGCAATTCTTTGGTTGCTAAGGTAATTGTAGTTGTGACAAAAACGGGCAAGAAACAAATGGGGGAAAAGATGTGTTTAAAACGGTAGCCCCCCTCCCCAATTCATATGTGTCGATTTCATTTCATCTCCTGGGTGTGGATGCTGTCCATTTCAGATGCGTGACAGGTGTCGGGGTGTATGTGTGTGTGTGCAGTTTGGGACTGTAGAGGCACGAGCTTACATAAGTGGTTAGGCAAGCTGGCGTGCGGACTTGTGTGGGATGGGTGCAGGTCTGCATATAAATCATGTTTCTGGGTTTCTGGGTGTGAAGCGCTCACTCACTGGGTCCAGTGAGCAGAGGGTACGTGCTCTTAGGTACTTCCAGTCTTCCGATTTTGTGATCGCAAGTGGGGCACCTTTACCCCAGAAGCAGACGTTCATTAACTTTTTCTCTGAAGAAGCTCGCCCTTTTGCAGTTTGGAGGCAAGGAAAGCGAGTGGTGAGGTGTGGAGGGCAGGGTGGGTGGGAGATCTCTTCTTTGGGAACTGCTGCAGGAAAGCGAACAGTTAAGATATTCACTCTCAGAGGGCGACAACTAAACTGGCTGCGAGAAGAGACCGTGTTTACTGTCACCGTCAGGCTGTAAACGTGGCCGGGTGAGACAGAAAAAAGTGACCCAGAAAATTTAATTTTGTTCAGAATGAAAGCTGCTGTTTTATTTTATTTTTTCTTAAATTTGATGGAGTAGGAACGTTATTTGTTGATGAGAGGAGTGGTATTTCTGTGTTACAAATTGAAGATATTTTGGGGCTCGTTGGCTTGGGATTGTTCCCTCAGCATTTATCAATGGTTAGGAGCTGGATCTGCAGGTAGTTTCTAATCAATACCTTTCAGCAGCCCCAAAGTAAAACTGCAAAAATAGGCAGTATTGGGCAAAACCCAACATTGGACCCTTTTCTCAGCAGAGGGGATGAGAGATGGAAGAATAAGGACCAGGCTTCTACGTGTCCGTAGGAGTTACAGACTGAGCCACAAGTTTGTGTGTTCTGTCAAAAAGTGTTTGAAAGGGGACCGTTTTGTAGGTTTAGCTTCATTATGTTCACAGCAAGGCTTCTATATATCAATTTTCATAGGCAGATGGGTAATTACATGGAATGGGAACTGGGGGTTGGAGAAACTTTCTGTGAGTTGTACATTCTTTGTATTATTTATTATTATTAATTTATTAATTTTGCAATGGGTGAGACTGCTCTGTGAAAGAAAGTAAGCAGAGGACTGAGGGAAATTTGAGGCTCTTTGGAGATGTACCTCTGTAAGTGAAAGTTTGCATGCAAAACAGCCAAACCCAAGACAGTAAGTTCTTTCTGAGTTCTCTGATAGTACTGTCAAGGCAAATTGTTGCATAAGTCTGGTGATCTTAGATACTACAAATGTTGGGGTATAATATATACCCCCCCATAACTCATTCTTTCCTGAAAGCGTCTGTAAATTCTAGAAACATCAGCTGTTGTCAGGTATTTTGGTAAAACAGGTAGCCACTAGAATTTCCTTTTCCGTAGTCATCACCTTGGTTAACTTTACTTCCCTGCCTCATTTAAGAGACTTGAATCAACACTCACTGCATTTATTTTGCTCAGAGTTTCAGTAAAACAATGCTAGTTTTTCTTCAAGCGATGAATTTGTCTTATAAAGTGAAACATTACAGCAGTGCTTTTGTGGCAGAAAAATCTCTTTAAATGAGATAGTCCTTATTTATTTATCTATTTACTTATGACTCGTTGAATAAAGTAGCCAATATAGATATTTTTTAAATGAGCAAACATTTCTTGAGAAAGAAAAACATTTTTTAAAGGGTATTGAGGACAATGAAATTTGCCAGTAATTTTGGATGTCTTTTTGTCCACAGGGACAGAATTTTATGTGAAAGTAGGATCATTCTGTTTCTTATTTCTTTAATATTCTCCCATGCATTTTATCCCCTGAACTCCTAAGACTTTGCCAGGAATTGCTGAACATTCTGTTTTGTGCCAGGGGTTAAACATCAGGGCGGTATGAGTAAGGAGCTGTGTGTCACATCAACGTTTTTCAAAAGGAATGCTCTCAGAGATTTCAATAAATGTTTCCTTTAGCTTCACAGTTAGCTTATCTTAATTCATAGTGCTTTGAACCTAGGAAACACTTAACCTCTTCATTTTTAGTGCCAGCTGGAAGGAATATATTTACTGAGTTTCATCTTCATTGTAACATATGGCATGATATAAATAATTACTACACACACAGTATCCTGCTGTATGGAGAGAAATGGAATTATAAAATAAACCTTCAGGTTGAGTGATTTGGAGGTAACATTTCAAAAAACAGTTTTACTTTTTTTCTTGATTACCAAAGTAATATATAACTATTGGGAAAAACTCAGAAAAATATATATTAAAAAAAAGATCATTTGTAATTCTTCCATGGAAGGTGAACCACAGTTGACATTTCTACATACCATATATTTTTCCAGATTTTATTCTGATCATGTTATTCATTGCATTTTTATACTTCTCTCCCCCAGCCTTCCAAATTTTCGTATCTTGTAAATGGAACTTGGACGTGTTAAAGGTTTGGGAAATTACTGCTAGTTTAGTGGATGGTTTTGATAGATCAGATTTAAATTTTTGTTAGTGGTCCTTATTTTCAAAGAGAGTAGTTTCTGTTTTTCTGTTTTCTTTGAAAAAGGAAGGTTTTCACTTTAGGTTGGAAATACTTAGGGCTCCCCATAAGATTTAGGAATTAAAGCATCAGAAAAGAAAAAGGTTATTGGCTGTGTGTAGGGTTGGGTGTGTGTCTGTGGGGTGGGGGGATACCTGAGTTATGGTTTTAATTTCTCCACCTCATGTGGATTTTGGCCTCTGGGCCTCTGTTTCCTCAAAAGATAAATGAAACTTTGAGATTTAGTTAATAAACTAACATATTTGTTGTTTTGACATTTGATGATGATGCTAGTTGTTTGAAGTAGACTTTTTCAAACACAGATGGCTGGGGGTCAACCCCAGAGTTTCTGAGGTAATTGGGTCTGGGGTGGGGCCTGAGAATTTACATTTCTAACAAGTCCCTAGATGATGCTGACTCTGATGGTCTGGGGCCGACATCCAGAACTAGATGATGAGCTCCTTGGGGGAAGAATCCCTTTTTCACTTTTCTTGGCATCCATCTGCCTAGTGCCCAGCAACGCACCTGCCAGTAGGACCTCAGTAAGCATTGGTTGAATCAATATTAGTTTTATCCATGGGGAAAAACTTCCTTAAGTAGTCAAGATAAAAAAGATAATCATTCAGAATTTGGAACCATTAAGTCTATAGTAAGAGTAATACTCAGTCATGAAACCCAGTTCTTCAAACTGCAAGGAAAACAAAAGTGCTTACAAGTAGGCAGTTAAGATGAACGCTAAACCTAATGAGTTATCTTAAATAACAGCTCAGAGTACCTGCTTGAAATGTTACAAACTGCAAAGCTTATGAATGCTTCACTGTTGCCTTCCTGAGACCTATAAGAGGCAATTCATTTTCTATCACATGTACATTTCCAACAGGGTGTGTGTGTGTGTGTAAATTCACTATTAATTATCCCAACTACCAAAGCAGAAGTCAGGGAAGCAATGGCCTAGACTCTTCCCCACAACCCCATCCAAAAGGTAGAACAATGCTCATTAGAACATCATAAAATGGGGACCTAAGACTCGTAGAAAACATTAACCTGCATAAGTTCACAAACTGATCAGTGGCTGCACCAGAAATCAGACCCAGGCCTGATTTCTGCCTGACGCCCAAGGGTGTTCTTCATTACTTCCCTCTGTGGACACTGAGTGAATGCATTTGGTGGCCGGGAGATTCCAGCTGGCTGAAATACCCCAGTTACAGCCTTTGATCATCCTTGCATGGCTACTTTGTGACTAGAAAACTAATCCTTCTACCTAGGTGTTAGAAACATAGGGTGCAGGGCGCCTGGGTGGCTCAGTTGGTTAAGCGACTGCCTTCGGCTCAGGTCATGATCCTGGAGTCCTGGGATCGAGTCCCGCATCGGGCTCCCTGCTTGGCAGGGAGTCTGCTTCTCCCTCTGACCCTCCTTCCTCTCATGCTCTCTGTCTGTCATTCTCTCTCTCTCAAAATAAATAAATAAAATCTTAAAAAAAAAAAGAAACATAGGGTGCAGAAAACCCCATTTTTATGGTTGAGACTTAAAAAACATGTAAATATTTGAGTAGAAACAAAGTCGCTGTTCACATAACCAGGCTATCCAAATGGATTGTGGAGACCCGCTGTCTTGGCTTTTGTCAATACTTAGTAAAACCATAAAAGGAAAAAGCCACCTTTAAGTTTTTGCATGGTACAGTTCTCTTATTCCCTAGTGTCTGCTCTACCCAGGAAGCTATTTTCTGGCCTGGAGGGACGCACACCTCAAGCAAAGCCCTCTCCAATGAGCGCTGCATTTACCTGCATGAACAGGAGCCAGCGGTGGCCGCCGTCGGAAGGACCCAAGGCACCTGTGCTGGGCTCCCTGACACCTGGACAGCCTTGAGCCCAGACAGAGACAAGACATGGGTGGCTCTTAAAGTAACACAGCGGGCAATCGAAAACCCTATTGGTTGTGTTCCTGAACCTCAATTTCCTCATCTGTAAAATAGGAACAACAAAATGCCCCTGGAGTATGAGTGGCTGGGAGGAAAAGAGAAAAAAGGAAAAGCGTAGCGTGCTGCATGGAGGAGGCATGGTGGCGGCCAGGAGGTGGACCCTGTCCCACCAATTGCCTATTTTGTAATAATTTTGATTATGAGTTGTTGATCTGCAGCCCTGGGAGTTTCCGGGTATAATCTGAAGCCCAGCTGGGTACGGGAAGGCAAGGAGACCCAGGAAACAGGTCACTCCGGATTGGTAGGTGCAGGTTTAATTGGCAAGGAAATTTACATATGAGCTTTGTCTGAGCTGCTGCAAGCTAAATAGCTCTCCATACTGTATTGCCTGCCAGAATCTTTAGGTTTTCATAGCGGCCTTAATGGGGTT